GGGCTTACAACAGCGGCCAGAAGGACATGCGGGACCGGGCTGAAAAGAATATGTGGGAGGCACTTGAAGGCGAAGACCTCGACCTGGTGCTAACCACCCTCCCGACTGCCGTTCCCGATCCTGGGCAGGACCCCTACGATCCTAAGATCGAGCTAGTAGGTCCGAGCGGAGCTGCCAGAGGAGAGCCGTCCGGGAAAGATGCCGTTGCCCCGAGTGATGCTGAAGCGGCCAAGAAATGAAGCTTGTAATCTTCTCTTTCTTTTTTGTAATGACATTGGTCGGGAGCCCGGTCCCGAGTTTGTACCGGGCAAGTTTTAATTATTAATAACAATTTTTTGCTTAAGTCTTACGGCTCGTTTCTTTAATGCTTTCCATTTTCTAACGCTTTGCATGTATGCTAACCGTGAAATACGACCATATGGCCTAACGGCCTAGTCGCATATAACCGACCGGCCTATTGGTTTGGGATCATCCCGACCACTTAGCCTTGCCGAGATTTTGAAAATATGGCCCTTCTGCCCGAGGTATTCCCGATTATTTAGGCCTTCACACTTCCTTAGTCCTAGCCCCCACACTTTTGTACGCTCGAGGTACGAGTGAGTGAGAAAGTGGACAGAAGTTGGACGGATCGGGAAATTATGCTGTGAGCTCTGGCTTTCCCGATCAGTGGCGTGACCCTGATGTCCGCCGAAGAGGAGCGCAAACAGTCGGTCGATATCATCGCCCGACCCGGTCATGAATGACTATTAGAGCCATTAGTTAGGAGGTTATTAGAACCTGATTGTATACCCCTATCAGTAAGACTGAGGGAGAGGCATCGTGGAGCGTAGAGCCCCACAGTTGTTGTTGTGCAGTCTCGATCGGTTAACGTTTGAACGGGACCGACTGGCAAATAACTTGGAAGAGTATGAAAAAACCGATCAGGCCGTCGTATGCAAACGGTCAAGCAATCACTGATCGTATATACATTTACTCATCCCGTTCGCAGACGGTTAAGAAAATATTTACAATCATATTTACACAGAGGTAACGAGCGAGGCTAACACGCAGGTTGAGCCCCCACTTCGTCAAAATACACAAAACTTGGCTAATGTCTAAACATAACGAGGTGCTCGGAATTCCAAGTACCCTCGATTGTCCGACCGGTCGTCGTCTCCAGTCGGTACGTTCCCGGCTGCACTACTGCGCTGATGATGTACGACCCTTCCCAATTTTGTACGAGCTTCCCTCCCTCGAGCGGTTGACTGGCCTCTCGTCGCCGAAGTACATAATCTCCAACCTGGAAATAGCGAGGGTTGACACGAACATCCTTAGAGCTCTTCACTCGCTTCTGATACTCGGCCATACGCCAAGCGGCTAGCTCCCTTTTTTCCTCGACTCCGTCGAGATCCACGACCATCGAGTGTTTATTCTCCTCAGCGTTGAATGTACGCTCTCGAGCGGTCGGGATCCAAGCCTCGATCGGCAGTCGGGCTTCTGCTCCATAAACAAGGGCAAACGGTGTTTCCTGAGTAGCTTCTCTCGGGGTCGTCCGATAGGTCCACAACACATATGGCAACTCATCAGCCCAACTACGACTTGCCGAGTGCAGCTTTTTCTTCAGACCTTCCAAAATTGTCCGATTAGCATTCTCCACTTGTCCGTTCCCCTACGGGTAAGCCACCGACGATCGGACGTGGGTCGTCCCGATAAGATGTACGGGCACAACAAAGCGGGAAACTACATTGCGCCATATAAACCGAGCACATTGTTGAGATGTAATCGTTGCTAACGGCTCGGCCTCGATCCATTTGGAAAAATAATCGATGGCGACTATCACAAACTTCCTCCGTCCAGCTAGTTGGGGAAAAGGTCCCAAAATGTCTACCCCCTACCTAGCGGAAGGGATTGCGGTCGTGACTGGTTGATAAAACGTGGCCGGTCGTCCGGGCATCCGTGCAAATAACTGGCACGTCTCGCAGTCTCGAGTGAGCTTCTCACAATCAAGCTGGATGGACGGCCAATAATACCCGATCACCATGATCCGACGGGCTAGTGATCGGCCTCCTTGATGCGATGAACAGATGCCGGAATGCAACTCTTTCATGACGAGGTCGGCCTCGAATGCAGTCAAACAACGCATAAGTGGGCCTCCATATAACCGTCTATGGAGACGTCCTTCCAAAACTTGGAACCTCCGGGCTCTAAGTTTGGTCTTTCGAGCACGCTGAGGGTCATCTGGGAGCCACCGTGCTCGAGAAATTCCTTCAGATCGGTGATTCAGTCGTCTTCCGCCGGTTGGATAGGATTAACCGGCAATCGGTGTATGCTGTGCCTCAGGATCACCAAGATCCGAGCTATCTTCGGCATATGTTCCGGGGCATCCTGAGCCAACTTGGACAAGATATCAGCATCTGCATTGTCTAATCGGGGGATATGGTGGACGGTATACCCTCGGAACAGAGCAAGCTTCTCCATGGTCTCGGTATTGTTGTAGACGTTCGCCATTTACTTCATAGTCTCCAAGGACTTGCCCGACCACGAGCGCAGAGTCTGTCTGAGCCCTCAGATATTCAGCCCCAGGTCCCAAGCACACTGTAAGCCATTGACAAAGGCTTCGTACTCGGCCTCATTGTTGGTCGGGTGAAACTGGTACATCAGGGCGAAGTAAACCTTAAATCCCTCCGGGCTCGTGACCACGACTCCTCCTCCCGCACCCTTTTTACTGCTCGACCCATCTGTAGCCAGCGTCCACCACTCGGCCTCAGGATCCGCAACCTCGGCCGGTCGGTTATCCCGAGCGGTGCATTCGACCAAAAAATCTGCCAAAGCTTGGCCCTTGATTGCTGGTCTCGGTCGATACTCTATGGCATACTGGGTCAGCATCAACGCCCACTTGACTAAGCGGCCAGATGACGAAGCGGTGCGGAGGACTGGACCGATTGGCTGATCGGTCAAAACACGAATTGGTCGACCCTGAAAGTACGGAGCCAACTTCTTCGCAGCAACATAGAGAGCATAGACGACTTTCTCCAGCCGGGAGTATCGGAGCTCGGGACCATGTAGCGCGTGGCTTACATAGTACACCGGTCGCTGAACCCCTTCCGGATCGGTTCGGCACAAAACTGCGCTTACTGCACGATCGGAGACGGCGAGGTATACATCTAACTCTTCTCCGAGCTCGGGCTTTGAGAGCACGATTAGTGACATCAGGTACTCTTTCAGCTCATCAAAAGCCGCTTGGCATTCTTCGTCCCAGACGAATCCATTCACTTTACACAATACCTTGAAGAAATGTAAAGCGCGCTCGGTTAACTTAGAGAGGAACCGGCTGAGCGCTGCCAACTGACCGGTCAACTGCTGGACTTCCCGAACAGTTGAAGGTGGTTGCATGTCCAGTATGGCTTTGACTTTGGCCGGGTTGGGCTCGATTCATCTCTTGGTCATCATGTAGCCAAGAAACTTCCCGGTCTGAACCGCAAATGTGCACTTTGTTGGGTTCAACCGCAGCTGGTACTTCCTCATGATCTGGAAGCACTCCCGAAGGTCCCGAGTGTGGTCAGATTGGTCCAGACTCTTGACCAGCATATCATCAATGTAAGCTTCCATCGTTCGGTCTAGAAGATCGGCAAAGAGCATATTGACCATTCTCTGGTAGGTCGCTCCTGCATTACGGAGGCCGAATGGCATCACTCGGTAGCAATACAGCCCATCCGGGGTAACGAAGGCTGTTTTGCTCTCGTCTTCATGGTGCATCATTATCTGGTGATAGCCTTTGAATGCATCCATGAAGCTCATCAGTTCTGCTCCTGCTGTCTCATCGACCATCTGATGGATGCTCGGTAGCGGGTACGGGTCGAGAGGGCAGGCCTTGTTTAGATCTGTGAAATCTATGCACATCCTCCACGCCGGTGGCTTAGGAACTAAAACAATGTTGGCCACCCACTCGGGGTAAATGACCGGACGGATGTGCTCGATCGCCGCCATCTTCTTGACTTCCTCGCGAACAAACTCGCGGCGATCGGATGATAGCGCCTGGTCTTTTGCACGACCGGCTTTGCTGTAGGATCGACGACTAATCTGTGGCAAATGACCGTCCGGTGGATCCCGGACATATCGTCAGGCCCCCATGCAAATATATCAGCGAACTCCCGGAGGATCGCCAACACTTCCGCTCGGAGCTCAGGGATGAGGGCCCGGCCAATCTTAATCTTCCTGTCCGGTCGGTCCTCAGACAGGGGAACTTCCTCGATCTCCTCGGAGGGCTCGGGCTGCTCCTTCCGTTCGGCAGAGACCTCCTTTACTATTGTGTTTACCCGGGAAGACGTGCCAGTATCAAGTCTATTAACCGCTCGGGTATAACATTTCCGGGCGGACTGGACATCGCCTTGGACAACTCCGACCCCGTTTGGGGTGGGAAACTTCATGCAAAGGTGCGGCATGGAAATTATCCCACCAATCCTCATGATGGCGGGGCGGCCCAGAATGATGTTGTGGACGCAATGGAGGTTGACCACAACGAATTCAAGCTCGGTCTTGATCGACTTTGGAGAGGTGCCGATCTCCACGGGGAGTGTTATTTTTCCTTCGGGGTAGATAAGAGCCCCGGTAAATCCGGACAAGGGGACACCGACCGGAGTCAGTTCACGCCTGTCCAATTTCAACTTCTCAAACACGTCCAAATAAAGGACGTTGACACTGCTCCCCGTGTCTACCATAACCCTCTGGACGTCTGTGCCTTTGATGTCGATAGTGACCACGAGTGCCTCCATGCCGTGGTCACCACTGCTCGGTTGGTCCTCCAGGGTGAAGGTTATGGGCTCCATCTTTTGCCGTTTCCCGGTGTCTCGGGAATCCACGATCGCGACCGGGCAGTTTTCCCTCGGTCGGGAAGCGTCATCCAATCCACCGAAGATTACGTGGATCGTCGGCTTGCCTGCTGGTCGGCTACTTGATGGGGGGTCAGGGTCTCTTCGGTCATCCCTTCGTTCATCTCGTCTTTCTGACCCTGCCCGATCAGATCAATCGGAGCGATGATGGGAACGACAATTGTCCCTCCGATCTGTGTTCTTCTTGGCCTCCTCTCTCTTCCCCACACACTTGTCTAACTTGCCGAGGCTAAGCAAGTCTTTTAGCAACTGTCGCAAGTGGGTACACTCTTCAGTGTCATGGCCGGCGCAACGATGGTAAGCACAATGTTTAGTCTTATCTGGACCATCTTGCCCGGGATGGGGGAGTTTGATTAAATTGCAGGACTGGGCGTACTGCATTGCTTCTGCGGCGGATCGGTTGAGCGCCGTAAACTCACCAGGCCTGGTGTGGGATCGGGGATGATCATCACCCGATCGATGATCCGCCCAGCCGGCCGGTTTACGGGACGATGTCCCGACCTCCTGCGAACGCTTCACAGCGTTGGCCTCACCAGCATTAGCGTAATCCGTGACCCTTCGGAGGGCCTCCTCGTATGTGGCTGGGGGATGGAGAATAAAGTCCTGGTAGAGGTACCCAGCACGGAGAGCAATATGGAGCATGTGAACTGCAGTAAGATCATCCATAGGCTCCACCTCCAGGACTGCTGCCTTCCACTTGACTAAAAAATCGGTCAAACTCTCTCCATCCAGCTGCCTTGCCTTCTCCAGGTACATATATGACTTCTTGGCCACCCTGGAGGTAACAAATTTTCTCACGAACTGAGTAGATAGGGCCGCAAAATTAGCAATAGACCCCGGCTGCAGAGTTCGGAACCACTTTGCCGCCCGACCGGTGAGCGTAGAGTAAAAAGCACGGCACATTACGGCGTCTGACATGCCCTTGAAGATCATGTTGCCGTAAAACTCATTGACGTCGACCTCGGGGTCCGTCCGACCATCGTAGCTCTTCTCCCCGGGAACCTTAAGATCTAGCGGGTAGGGCTGCGCCATTATCTCCGCCGTGAAAGGTGTCCTCAACAACGTTGAGTGGTCGAACTTAGGCTCTGATACCAACTGTAACACCCCAGATTTTTAAGACTTTTTAAAGCTTATAATAAAGGTAGAATCTTATTAAATCCCAGAATATAATACAAGTGTTCGGGGTGCTATGCCACACCTGGGCTAGAGAACCCAGATGCACAGGCTAACTAACTAATATCCTCAAAAGCATAAACGTATAAACATGGCACGCAGGCCGAAAGGGAAACTATCTATTTCTACACTCCGAGTTCTAGCGCGCTCCAGTGACTTAATCTTCTGTGCCTGAAAGCCAAATATATCTGTTCAGCGAGAGATGCTGGTAACCCACTCCAACGCGTTGAAATACAATACATATAGCAATATATATAGATATATAAAGAAAAACCATTTGAGCATGAAGATATATCCTACGAACTCTAGCTTTAAAACCGGGGACGACTCGACAGTTAAAGCCAGACGCAAGCATTGTTACAACAGTCATAAGCAGTTCACAATAGATAAGGCAATTAAGGCAAGCATAACCGATGATCATAACTCAACATAAACAGTCTTAACATAAATCTCCCGGTCATAACTATCAAGATAGTCATAACCACAACTCTCCCACCTCTCAACACATAGCACGCTTTGTTGGCGCCACAGGACCAATCGCATGCCCATACATGAGGGTCAGCGCATATAGCTCTGACACGGCCCCGCAGCACCCTGCCCCGCATCCACACGGAGGAATCATTGCTTTGGCCCCCAATGAACCAAAGCCCATAAGAATGCGTACTCTGACTGTAGCCAGGAAACCCATCTGACTACAGCTGGCCTCCGAACCCTTTGTTCAGGAGGTGTCATCTGATTGCAGTCAGGAATTCCCATCTGACTACAACCAGCTTCTGGGCCGCTGCCCAGGATAACGTCATCTGACTGCAGCCAGGAAACCCATCTGACTACAGCCAGCTTCCGAACCCTTTGTTCGGGAAACCAATCCGATCCTTTACCGAATTGGCAACACACACACATAGCACATAGCAAGCACATGCAACCCACATTACACGTTGGGAGGGGAATACGACGTATAAAATAAACCTATGCGTGATCCATCACCAACTAGAGATTGCCTTACGGGGTTCATACTTCTTCCACCTAGGTCGTCGGGATACCAATTCACTAGCATGCATTATACTCGACTCACAAACCTACGAACGGTACCCGAAATATCAAACTAGACATCGGCACGGCAAACGGGGTCCGTTGGGACACCACGGGGATCGGGGAAAACATCAAACGGGGTAGCCGGGGTCCCGAGGGGGACAATTTTCCAGCGGGTAGCCGGTGGGTGGGGGTCACCCGCCGGCTGCCCGCCGGAACAGTAAATCCGGGCAGCGGGTCGCCGGTGGGCAGCTGCCCGCTGCCCAAACAGCAAGTTTGGCCGTGGGTAGGTGGCGGGTCCCCTACCCCCCACCTACCCCCCACTGACTCTTTTCACAACTTTTTCGTCCCGGGAACCGATGTGGAACCCGAAACCATGCTTAGACATTTTACAACGCAATCAACGACCACACGTAGACAATTTAACGAATCAAATACGAGAAACGAACGGCACGTATTCCATCACGCTTTTTCTAAATATAATCAACTCCCAAACATGCGATTTCCCACCCGATAATCCAAGATTAACACCATACGATATAACCTAGGGTTCTAATCGCTTTTATGTTAACAAGAATACGATTCGTCTTCTAATTGCAAGATTCGGTAAGAACAACACGTAATCATCAAGGATACCAATTAATCATCAAGAACATCATAATCATCAAGAACAACAAATAATCATCAAGAATACCAATTAGTCACCAAGAACATCATAATTATCAAGAAACTCCCAATATCAAGATTATCAAGATTCCCCATGGAATCATCAATTCAACATCAATAATAATACTTATCATAATCACGCCATTCATAATCAATTGGGGAAACCCTAAGGGAAATCATAACTATAAAAATAGGTTTTGTTGAGACATGGGTTACCTCTTAGCCTTAATTAATTCCTTGGCTATGAAGGATCTTTCTTTGAGCTTTCTTGATTTCTTGATTTCTCCTAGGGGAATTCTTGGAGCTCCTTGGGTGGTGGGAGATTATTGTGGTGGAATTCTAGGTGCCTTCTAAGTTCCCTATTTATATATTTAAGACTCCTAATTAGGGTCTGAATAATATGGGCTTACTAATTCTTATAGGACTAAGAGTCCATGATCCTCATTGGACTATATTAATTAAAGCGGATCCTAATCGTAATCTAAATAGTAAGAGGCCTACTTCTTTTATTCTTAATAGATGACTAGGTCTAGGATTCCTAGTTAGAATCCGAATAATAAAAGGTTTACTTTCTTTATTCCTAATAGGCTTAAGCCTCTAATTTAAGCAAGGGTCCACGGTTCATGGTGGTCCATATTAATTAATCAAAGGGGAACCTAACATAATTAAATCGTATTTAATTATTATTAGCGGGATTAATTAAATAATTAATCCAGGACTGAAGGCCGTAACACGGGGTGTTACACTCTCCCCCCCTTAAGAGAAGCTTCGTCCCCGAAGCTTAGAAATCATTGCAGGGTTAACGAGTCAAGAGTAGAACGGTGGTCCTATAGAGAAGGTATTCTACGGGGAAACTGTATAATTGTATGTCTATCTGTGTTGGGTTTTTGGGAGCGATTAGGTTTACAAGACTAAGAGGGCGGGTTTCAACTCGAGGACAAATTGAATTCAATGATTAGGATCAAGGTTTTCAAGGTCGCAACTTAGGTTGTGAGGTTGTCGCTTTGTGCGGAGTCGTTAAAACATGGAATCAAGGATGTGGTTTGAAGGGTAGAAAGGGTTTTGAAATAAGGAGGGGGCCGATTTTCCGAGGGAGGAAAGGAGTTCGGCTAGGATGGGTTAAGGGTTCTTGATCTCAAGTGAATAATCTGGTTTGATACTTTGATCACGATGCGTCGACGAGCCGTTGATCCTCCTTCCTTGGTGTTGGCGCTTGCTTGACTTTAAGATCCTTGTTAGACCTTGCTTCCCAGGCCAAGGTTTCATCCCTTTCTTCTATCTTGAGGGAGCTTCCCGTGGTGATTTAGCACTTACTTCTTTAATGCGCCCAAGGTCTTGACCACGTTGGGTCAACCAAGCCAAATTTCTTAAGGCGTATTTCCCAAATTCTTCCCAAAGTCTCTTGGGAGTCGTTGGACTTTGGGTTGAATTTCTCCTTTTTATTGAATCTCATCTCCTCTTTAGTGGATGAAATTCTTAGTAAGACTTCATGTCTTACCCAGGGTTCGGCTTGTTGTGCCCTTTTGTGTTATTTTTAATGATGCAGGTGTCTTTGTGTGCCCCTTTTTCTTTTTAAAGCGCAGTCGGTTACCAATTCTCGTCGTGGGATGACTCGGTGACCTTACAAGTCATCTCATTTCCTTGTGGGTCCTTAATGACCCTTGAAGTCTTGGCGCGAATGTGCTCTTTCCCCTTTTGCTTAGCACCATGGCCTACGTAGTTCTCGATTCCATACAACTTGTAAGGCGTCCTCTGATTTGCTCGAGCGGTGTCATGGTTTGGAGGAGTCCCGGTTTAGCATTTTGACTTTTAAGGTCTTCGTGGGTTCTTAGTATGATTTCCCAACTCGCCTCCTTGGTTTGCGCAATCCTTTGTGCCAAACATCCCCAGTCGGTCGTATCGTAGGATCCAACTTCAATTACTCGTGCAAAGTAATTGATTGTGATTTCACGATGGTGCCTCGCGCGTCAAGGTCTTTTACGTAGGATACTATGTTTGGGTGGTCCATGGTTTCTTGTCCGAGACTCACATTCATCAATCGGGGTACACAAGTGCGTCGCAAATCAATAAAAATGAGGGGTTAAGAAATCAGCACATTGTACCAGTGGGCGCGAGGTGGGCGGTCGTCCGCCTGCCAAGCTCCTGCTAAGGACCCGCCAAGGTCCCGTCAAGGACCCGTTGGGGACCCGCGGGAAAACGACTAGGAAGAGTCAATTCCCTCGGGAAAGACCCCAAAAAGGCACCGATTCATGTCCTGACAAGTCCCATGCCCTTGTGCACCAAAAAGGGGCCTGAATACATAGGATGACCCATCATACAACGTTTACTGATTCTTAAGCACGAGTTCTAGATTAGTCAAGACTCTTGTATGTTCGTTCCGCTTAGTAGGTCGGGTCCGGTTTCCAATTAGCAAGCTCGTCATCTATACCGAGTAGTTTGGTTATAAACCAACTTCGTCTCTTCCTTGCTTGATTAAGGGTAAGTCCTCTTGGTTCTTCTTGGAGTTCGGCTTGTCGCCAGCTCTTGGTTCAACCCTTTGGTGACCGAGTGCTCGGTGATGCATTTCCCTTCCTTGGGATGCATTTGATTGACCGCCCTTGACGTTGTATGGTGTATTGGCGACTTTGCGTGTCTCACGTACTTCTCCCGGTGCCTTAAAACCATCAAGGTCCTTGTTCCAGGGTAAGATCCTTATTGCCGTGAGGTTCTAGTTTATATGATACTTTCCATGTGTTCGTTGCCTCTTCTGGTCATGTCGAGCCCTTTTCGGTGATTCGTGCCAATGATTAAGAAAGGGTGTCGTTGACGTACTACCTTACCTCCCTGCATTCGAATTGGCGTTCCCAGCCTCCGAGCTGGGATAGTTGCGCCCATTCGTGACCAGTTCCGAAAGGGTTCGCTCATGCTGGAGGGAGCGGCTTCCTACTTCTGTTACTTCTTCTTTCGGGTTCGTTCCTGGATTCCGCGTTTGGAGTAGTTGGATTAGGTAGAGATTAGCGGCACTGGAGTAAGCCTCGTTGAGAGTCCGAGGTTTTCTTATCACTAGTGCCTTTCGGGTTTCAAAGTTGAGGCCCGATACGAATCTCTCTACTCCGGTTACCTCGGTGGGACTAGTTCTAGTGTGAAGCGTGTTAGTTCGAGGAATCGTTTGTTGGTATTCCATG